AAGGAAGGAAGGAAGGAAGGAAGGAAGAACGAACAGTTTGGAGTTTTTGTCTTCCCTACCACTAACCTGGTCTTGAAGAAAATCCTCTACAAAAGTTTAGGGGATTTCTGAGAGAAACTACTGGGCATGGAGAAAGCAAGAGAGATGGCAGAATGTGGCTATGGACAGAAGGGTGGTCCCATCAGTTCTCTGAGTTGCCTGAGGATCCAAGTGACATGGATAGGACCCAGACTAGTGAGGGGCATCAGAGGATGCCAATAAGTAAGACCTTTAACTTGATAAGACCCCAAAAGTAGACACTCCCAACCTCACCTCCTGCCAGCTGTGGTTGTATAATTTCCCTAGAAATTGGATCAGTGTTAGGGAGGAAGAAGCAGGAAGTTTACAGCGCTCTGAATCAATAAGCCTGAAATTACATTCCCTCAAAATTACTGAATTGGTTCTCCATTTACCTAAAGACATCTAAATTAAGTCGTCTGCTAGGAGGCAGGCTGAGGACTCATTCAGATATTAAAGTCAGTGTTAGAAATTAATAAAGTGCTATTTCTGTCCCAGTTCCTAATCTTGTAACTGAACTGTTACAAAGTAGACTCTCAGAAAGAGCACTGGTCATATTCCTATGTGATCTTGGGTAAAACCACATGGACCCTCACTTTCCTCCTTATAAAATGAAGTTAGAGTTAATTCCAGAAATAATTTCTTTTTAAGATAACATTATTGTTTTACTAATTATAAAAGTTATGTAACAAACATTTGTAGAGTTCCAACTATGTATAAAGGGGAAAAAGATGAATAAAACACGATCTCTGCTCACCTGAAGTTCACAATATGATGGGGGGGAAAATGCTACCACCTCCATAAGACAAAGTCTTGCTATAATAAAGTTATAAACATATATGAAGAAGGGGCAGGGCCTGTTCAGGGATCATGAGATATGGCCAGATGTGAGATGCCCAAGAGGTTGGGCTGGCAGAGGCCAAAAACAAGCCATCCATGGGCCAAACAGAGCTTGAGACTGCTTTATTTGACCTGCATGATGTTTTGGTTATAATATTATTAAAACTTTACTTGCAGGGCCCTGACCAGATACTTAAGTTGGTTAGAGCATCATCCTGATACGCCAAGGTTGTGGGTTCAATCCCTGGTCAGGGCACATATAAGGATCAACCAATAAACGCATAAATAAGTGGAACAACAAATCAATGTTTCTCTCTCCCTCTCTCTCTCTCAAAATCAAACAATCAAAATTTTTAAAAACTTTAACTTGCTTACCTTTAATTGGGGAATGGACTCTCTTCATTTAAAGGGGAGGTATAGTAAAAAATAAATAGGAGAGAAAACCAAGATGGCGGCATAGGTAAACACCAGAAATTGCTGCCTGGCACAACCACTTCAAAAATACAACTCAAAGACAAAACTGACATCATACAGAACCACAGGAAGGCTGGCTGAGTGGAAATTCTACAACTAGAAGGAAAGAGAAAAGCACACTGAGACTCAGAGGAGGTGCAGAAGTAAAGTGCAGAGGGTATGGAGGCACACGCAGAAGGGGCTGGCAACTGAGGACGCGGGTAGAGGGGAGACACAAGCTCCTGATGGCCCTGACTCCAGTTCCGGGCGAGTCTCTGGGGACCCAGACTCATACAGGGAGAAACTGGACTGCCTGGCAGCGGACAGAACTCGAGGGCGGCTTTCTCTCACAGGTGCTTGTAGCGATTACTGCGACACTGAGACCCGGGGCCTCTTAGGGCAGGACTGAGGATCAGCCATAGCTGTTTGCTCTGCCCTGTTGATTCCCTGAGACCCCGCCCCACCCAAGCTGTGTGCAGAGGCTTTTGCATATGAATGACCTGGCCCTTTGCAATCTAAAATTATCTAACAAACTGCAGCTGGGTCAGAGAGACCCAGAACATCCAAAAGCAGGCCCAAGGCCCCACAGCAGCTTGCATTTCTTCACAGCTGGGCCTTATCTGGGCACCTCCAAATCCCAAACAAAGAAGAGGAATCTACAGATCTATCCCTAGTTCCTGCTGGGTAGCCTCAGGCAGAGGCTAAATTAGCACCTCCTTAGAGATCCAA